AACGACTCCGAACACAGCTTCAGAACGGACGCAGGAATGCCGTCTGGCCCGGCAGCAAACGAGAGTTTCAACTTTGAAGAGCTAGATTGACGGTATGTTCACTGATGTGAAACGGACGGAGCTCAAATGCATCTGTTGGAGAATCGCTTATATCAATCGTGACTTGATTTTATGAGGCCGATGATTCATTGAACGAACTCATGAAATGTTGAGCAAAAAGGCATTTTTCCGCTTTAGATTCAGCGGTTTGCTCATCGAGATAAACTGACAATGGCAAACCAACTCGTTCTTTTTAGAGTTTACAAACGACCAGAAATGCTTTGGATATCTGCGAAGAGATGATTGCGTACGAAAGACATATCGTCCATACAGGAATCTGTAGTATTTCCTATACTGCCCATAATCGCATATTTGCTTGATTTCCTATGCATATGGGACTGTTATGCGATTATGGGTAGTATAGTCGTTACTTGTGCGGTTGAACTCCTGCTTCGTAATGTACGAACGAATTTGGCAGTATCTTCGTAACGATTTAGCCCTACACCGTTTCAGTCGACGCAAGTGACCGTTAGACCACGGTGGCTTTGGTGCGGAGCGGGCAATAGGTACAAATTCAGCCATGATATCTCAAATCATTTGACTGAAATATTCAATGGCATCGTCAACACATTCAACTAATTCTAATGGTCGCCAATCGATACCGGAAATAGCAGCACTAATCGCAACATAGTCGGCCCGACGGAAATCCAGTGTACGATTATTTACGGAACAATCCTCAAAACTGATTGGCACTGGGAGGTTCATCAGGACGTATAAAGCAGGGTGGTCTGCAGCAAGAAAGATCAGAGGTTCTATGGCTTCCGAAACGGTGCATGCCAGAGTTGCAGCTTCGTTAGACAGAACAAGGTCTAGAAAGCGAGCGTTCCTATTCAATACACCATTGATCTGCGTGAGGCCATGTAAAGCGAAACCGTTGATAAGCGTTGAACTAGCAGCCGATAGAACCAATTGAGGCTCAACCTGGAAAGACCCATCGTACGACTTACTCCACCGGAGCAAAGGCTGGTTATAATCTCCGAGCTGCAGAGCATATAGTCATCGAATTCCAAATTGGAAACAATAGCACCGATGGAGTTCACATGATCCTGAATACCAATGACATCGTTGCGGCGGTCAGGAGGTAAATAGATCACGCCTACACTGATAACTCGACTTGGTGTAGTGATTCTAACCCACCGCTGTTCTAGAGCGTCGGAAACAGCTTTCGGATCGATATAACTGTTCCAACGATATGAAACAGCAATTAAGACACATCCACCACGGGTGTTTGCACTGTTGGAGGCATTACGGTCTGTGCGATAAACCGAAAAGGCGTTCCCAAACAGTTGAGCACTGTATAAACGGTCATCGAGCCATGTCTCCGTCAAAACAATGACGTCATAATCGCACTCGCAAGCGGACAAAAAGAACGAATCTACCTTGGTCCGTAGTCCTCGAACATCCTGATAGTATATGCGCAGGAGATGAGCTACGTTTACAGCGCTAACTGCAACAGATGCGTTGTCGGCCGATGGAGCCGAGGTGGAAGGTGAAGAGCTGCATACAATACCACACGGCGAATGAGAACGACTTAAATTTGAGTTTAGTTCACTCATAATCGCCAAAAGTGCAGGAACGCAGCGATGAGTTAAATTTGTCTCATGGTTTCCTGTGGAAAACCTAAAAAATCTGCCGGAAAATGAGGAAATTGACGAAAATTTTATTCAGTCTCGAAGTAGTACCAATAGACTGAGTGAATCCAATCTTTACTTTTCTCAAATTCGGGAATTTTTCCCTGGAAAATCCTGGAAAAACCTCGGAAAACATGAGGCAAATTAACTCATCGCTGAGTTCCTGCACTTTTGGCGATTATAAGTGAACTAAACTCAAATTTGAGTCGTTTTCATTCGCCGTGCACTGGAATTCGAACAGGTGCTTGCCTACTAGAGCAGGTTGGAAGACCCTCTCTCTACATCCAACAACGGGTCTGGAACGACTATGAAAAGCGCAGGCAGCGGTTTTCAGGACCGTGTCGGAGAGATCGAGGGCTTCCAAAGTGCTTTCCACAACGCGCCCCAAGAATCCAGTGTTTGAAGCATCCTCAGCGTGTTCAGAATGAAGTTCAATGTGACAGGTACAGTGCGCAGTGGCAGAACAAATAGTCCAACTGTGGGGCGAAACATCTCCAGGAGGGAACACACATTATTACATTGATACTTGCCTATATGAGCAAGCTGGAAGACCTCTTCTCGCACTCCAGACACAGGGCCAGGACAACTTGGACTGCATTGATGAGGAAACGGTTCGACTGTGCTACGTGGATTAGATGTTTCCGTGTTGCTTTCTAACGTGCGTCCCGGAGATTCACTTTCGACTGCTGGATCAAGATGACTGTAGCTACATACAACACGAACCGACGCGGCAGAGTTCATTGGCATAGGGGCCAGAGTGGTAGTTTCTGAAATGCGTTCAGGTGCAACCAGAGTTGGCTGGTGTAGAAGCACTAGTAAGGGATATATCATCAGGAGAGACGTGGCTGAGTGAATTTATCGAGTACTTGCCTAGTATTGAAGTCTGGAAGACCCCTTTCACAATTCCACACACAGGGCCGGGATGACTCCGATGGCTGGAACAAGCTATCGGCGCGACTGTGGTGGACGGATCAGGGTCTTCCATATTACCTTCTACGATGCATCCCGGAAGCGAAGAAACAGCGATAGGTGATTCCTTCCGGCCACGAGTCAGGATTCTGCGCCATTTTTCACTAATGGAACTACTTTCACAGCATCATTGCAATCCAAAGCTTCCTTTGCGAGCTTGGAAACGGTGTCAGCTTTCACGGACCTATGGAAATGCGAGAGGTAGATCCAGAATACATCTTTGGACGTGGGTGGAGAAACGATGATGTCACCACCTTCCAGAGATCTTGTACCTCCAATACATTATTGTCAAAAATCTCGGCTTCAAAGAAGTATAAGACTAGATCAAATGTTAAGAAGTATGATTTGTGATGTAAAACGAATTTTGAATGCTTTTTTTTTGTTTATTCCCCCCAGCGAGTGACAAAAGAAGTTAGTTGGTTCCACTGTTTTACATCTTCAATCAAAGGTGAAGGCGCAATAAATAAGTAAAACTGCACCAGTAAATTTAAAAATGTTCTCCTTAAAACCAAAGGTCAATAAGAAAGATAAAATGTTCCCTAAAAAATTTATGAAATGTTCTTTCAAAAATACTGAAACGTCTCATAAAAAAATATGAAATTACGTGATTATCAGTTCATAGAAATGACGTCTAGTCTGGTCAGCATTATAATTGAAACTGATTTTAATTCTACTGTTGTATTCAAATGCTACAACGATTGGTTTGTTTCATACATGAGACCCCTCCTCAAACGAATCGTGGTTTGTTACATTGTGGATAGATCAAACAGTAGCAACAACCCAACCAGCTTTTAAAACCGGCAAATACCACTTCAACATTGAAATTCTCATCTCCATTCTGCTCCCAAGCCTGTCCTGGATTCCGACTCTGGCTATCACTTCAAATAATTCTCAAAACAAATTCGAATCGTTTTACTCGTCCTTGCTTTGAATAATTGATTTATTAGTTTGAGTTCCAAAAACTAATTCCATTAGTTAAATCCACCGGAAGGAAGGTAGATTAGTAAGCCCGACCTCTCCCTCTCAGATGAAATCGACCTACAAATTTCGAAAACAATCCACTCCAAGCATCAGCTTTCCGCAGCAGCAACAAAAATGAAAAGTGGTCCCGGAGATGGTTTGCTGTTTCCGGTTTGTTGGACGCTTTCATCAAATTTTCACGCCATCCCAACCCACATTCTGTAGCATCTACAGACCGGTCCAAAGATAAACAATTTTGGAACTTTCTCGGCGGAACTTTCTTGTGCGAAACAGCAATCGGGAAGGGTGAACTTTGTCGGGAGGAAAATGACGATTGCGGTACTTTCGGTGTTATCTTTCGATCTGTTTCGATAGGGTTGGGAAGGTGCAATTTTCGGGGTAGGCTTTTCCCGTGCTGATTTGAATAATAGTGGGGAATTATCGCAAATTACCTGATCACTTTGAGTCTGTGTGTAAACTTTCAACTTCGACTGTGAGGCTGCGAACGGGGAAAGGTGAAGCTGGGTTGAGCTGAAAGATTTAGCGGCATTGATAGCACCAGCGCACCGAACGACGATGAGACCCATTGTTTTCGGGGAAGTTTGGCGTGGGAATGGATTCAGCTGCCTGAGTATCTATCTTTAATGGATCGAGAACTTCTGAAAACACCGGCGTGTAAACAATCTTGCATAGGAAGGTTCAAAATAGCAGTAACAGGAATTGAGACTGGCTGGTGGGTGGGTGTTGGCAAGAACGTGCGCAGAAATTGGGCTTGGGAAGGGGTTTCGAACTGTGGAGTGTTGAATGTAAATTACAAAGCACCAATGTGATCTGTTAGTTTTCTCTAGAGAAACATGTTAATCGTGTTGCCTGACTTATAATGAATGTATATGTTACCCGGGAAATCATGACTTCGTCTAATTTTACGTGCATATGGTAAGTTAAATTAGACGCGTTATACATTCCCGTGGATAGAACGTATATTCGTTTAGGTGTCAGGCAACACAGTTAGCATTTGGGATACTCGTCTCCCTTTCCGGCACAGCAAACTTTGTCATGAATACATAAAAAGATGTTCGTTCGGGTCGGATATCATTTTCCACTTCGAAATTTGCTCGCTCAAAATTCCTGAACTCTAATTTTAGCTCTCACCAGGAACGTGCTATCCATCCGATCTGATAAACGATTTAGAATTAATTTACGTCACACTGCGACTGTGAGTCCTACTCCCCCCCCCCCATCCAGCCATCCCTCCCACCTCTCCTGTTCCTGAAAAACTCGATGATGCTAATTTTCTGATAACCGTCATTTCTCATCCAGTTTCTTGTCTTCTGCTTCCAGGAAAACCTCACAACTGAACCCCTTTCCAGAGTCCAGCCCCGATACCAGCCGACCGCTTAGGAAATACATCTACGAGAACCTCCCGACAGCCCCTGGTTCCCCTCCTGCTCCACCCCCACCGACGACTGTCCCAGTGAGCGAAAAGCCATGACATCACCCCTGCCACTGTTGCGCTCGTTCTCGACCGAAAACCAGAACCGAGACTGGTGCAAGCGATTCTCGCTGCGAGTCAACCGGAAGGCCACCGCCGATGGAAAGCTGGTAAGTGAGTTACCACCGTCACACCGATGCAATTGCAGTGCATGGCGGAAGGTGGAAGCCCATTATGGTGAATTGCATCCTCGCTCTCAGAGCCGGGGCTTGGTGGGTCGCATTCGCTTTTATGTGGGTTATTTTGTTGGTTTGGATTCAAATTGGGTCTAAATTTATTAGGGTTGTTTATTGGCGTTCCGATGGCGTCCGGAGGTGTCGGTGCGCACGGATGAATAACGGCGCCTGATATGAGAAATGAATTGGGATTAGTGAGTTATTGCAAGGTTTTTGGCGCCTCTTTCTTCGAACCCGCAGGGAGATGAATTTATGTAAAATTCACTGTATGCATTTGCACTGTATTTGATATTACTAGGGATTTTTGCTTATTTATTTCTAGTCTGCATTTAAGTTTATGAAATATTGGAAATGTTTAGTCAAGTCCCATTAACTTCACATCAATTGTAGAAACTTTTCAGAAGATCTGAGGAATGAAAGGAAATGCTAAGAAATTCAGTAAAGCTTAATAAACAAGCGACGAAGTTCTTGAAACATTTTGAACATATGGGAATTTCATGGAAGCCTTGACAACTTTCAAGCAGTTCCATTAACTTCAAATAGCTGCAGGAACGTTTAAGATGTCCTTGAAATTTCAGGAATATTCAGAGAACTTAACGTAAGTTAAAATAAAATCAGAGATGTGGAGAGAATTTGAGAAAAACTATGGAATCTTTTAGGAAGTTCCAAGAACCTCTGAAAAGTTATACCCCGTTCACATTACAGCCTATATCACGTAATATAGGCTGTCTTGCAATGAGCACTCATACATAGGATTTCCAGTGAAAACTAGATGTATGAGTGCTCATTTCAAGACAGCGTATATCACGTGATATACGCTGTAATGTGAACGAGGTATTAGATCTCGGACCTTTGATGATATTCAGAGATCCTTAAGGACAGTTCCCGTAACTGCAGGAAAGTTCAGACTCTTGGATGAGTTTAAGAATCTATAAGCGTGAGATTATATAAATTCAGGACAGCTCCATGTTCTTTATTTAAAAAAGTAAGAGTTTGTATCCAAGACACGACCGTGAATTTGACAGGATTACGTGCTCGGTATCAATATTCAGCAACTGTGTTAGGAAACCACTTTTGTCCATCACGGAAACGCCTTGTTTTCTGATGACAAAATTCCGGATTTTCGTGAACAAACGCACGTGTACAGTTTATTCAATAGATAATAAAATGGCGTTGTACACAATGGTGACGTAGGACTAAGGGCCTGTTCATAAACTACGTAGACAGTTAGGGGGGGGAGCCTTTCGTTGTGTACTGGAGAACAAAACTACTCACCACGCGGTGATTGAATAAACACCGTTTGGTGAGACCGGATGGAATTCAATTTTGAAATCTGATTTAGAGAAATCGCGTTTCGCAGGCAATCGATGATGATTTTAATTATCATAGCAACAGTTGCACATTCGAGCAATTTCCAAAAGTGACATTCTAAAAATGACAAAATATTACATTACAGATGCGTAGAAACATTTCTGATCGATTGGTGATAAAATTATGGAAATTGGTCCAGGAGCAGCTGAGTTCTTAACGTTCAAAATCTTTCATAATTTCGTTACGTGTGCCATTTTTGGTTTTCACAAAGTTTGCCCCCATATAGAAATCATAGACGTAGACGAAATCATAGCTCGAAATCATAGAAATCATAGACGCCATTAAGCTATACAGCCCATCTAAAGCCCAACTAAAACGTAGCCCACTTAAAGATAGCCCAACGAGCGAAATTCGACTGTACTGTTACGCATTTGACCACAAACGTTTGGATGCTGGGTACATTTTCAAACAGCTTTGGGGTGATGTGGCTGGCAGCAAGGCGAGCGAACGTTCAATTAAAATTAACTCTTACACAACAATAATTTATGGTGGTCCTGAAAAGAGCCGGTTTTGCTGAGCTCTTAGGGTGTTCAACACGGATGAGGCTGGCGAGCTGTATGTTGTTTGGAACGAGGGTGACGCGCTTGGTGGTAGATGGCCCACAGCGACTCACGATGAGCAACTGAATCCGATCAGTGTCGGTGCGGGTTTTTCCTCCTTCTTCGGTGAATCGAGGGCTCTTGGTGGCAGCCATGATAGCTAGCTGCTTGTGGGAAGCCTTTCATTATCTACTGGAGAAAAATGTACAACGCCACGCGCCGAAAGCACTGCCGCTGCTGCTGATGATGATAACGATCGGACACCACCACTCACAACACGCGGTGATTGACTAACCTGGACGGATCAGAGAACCAAATGGCAGTTCAAAAGCTTGACACTAGACCTACTCCTACTCTGGCTCGACCAAGACTCCCGGATAACTAGCTCAGTAGCACGAGACCCCTGAACCGAGTCACAGGGTCGGCATGCTACTGGGTAATTAGATTAGATTCGGGATATTGAAGAATTTGGAAAGTGTTTGATTGGAAAGCAAATTTATTCAAATGACTGTGTTGGTGTGAAGTGGGTTTTGTCTGGGCTATTGGTGTGGTGAAATGATCACTTGTTCTGGTACGTACCGGGTGTTGAGCTACGGTAAGCGCTCGCGGATGGTGATGCACGCGATGGCGATTCGGTGATTTTGACAATGGCTACTTGATGGCTTGGTTTGACTTTTTGCAATGGCGGATTGCTGGTTGTTGGATTCGATGCTGGGGTACGTGGAATGACGTTTCCATTGCCATTCAGCCACTAGCTTGATCGTGGTCTTGGCTATAGACATCTACCTTTTATGACGTAATCGACAGACCACGGACGATACCGTATTGGCCATGCCAAGAAGGTTCTTCTTTAACGGTTTGGGCTCAATGCCCGAGGTAACCCTCTCTTAAACGGTGACCAGAGTAAAGTGTCCTTGACTGCTTCCAGTTTCCCGGTTTAAGCCGACTCGCGTGGAAGTGAGGATTGAGCACACATGGCACAAAATGTACAAAAGTACAGCAGTACATAAGGTTCTGTTGAATTAATCAGGAGTGTAAGTTGGATGTTAATGGAGTATAACTCGAGTTCCGTTTACCTGAATGAAGTGGTATAGAAGAAGTTGGCACAAATTGGCACACTATTATAGGCACTGCAATAGATTTACTTCCAAATGTTTCACTCACTTGTGTCTCACACAAACGCCGTTTGTAAAGTGATCATAGCAATCTTCTAATAGCCTTTACTTCCCTCCTATTCCAAAAACCAATCCATTCCAAACTCCATTTTTCCTCGGTGTCAACTATCACCAGCCATCTGTGCTCAAACCCGCTCCTTCCATAATCCTACCACAGTTGATTTTTTACACCACCTATTAGATACCTTGTCCATTGAAATTTTACAATAATTACATCTACTTCTGACAACATTTTTGGATTTTCAAAATTTAATGCTTCTGACAAACACTTAATCTAATAAATACTACAGTTTCAAAAACATCATGCACTCATTAAAATCATGGACAATGTAACTCAACGGTTATAACAGAGGAAGTTCTAAGACTTCTTCTTCTTCTTCTTCTTCTTCTTCGCATTTCAAGCTTATTGCTTATGGCATATTAGCTTATTGCGTGCTCTCAACTTAGTGTTCTAGATGCACTTCCACAGTTATTAATTGAGAGCTTTCGATGCCTGTACCATTTTTGCATTGGTATAATTGTGTGGCAAGTCCAATCATACTTCTATGCCCAGGGAAGTCGAGAAATTTTCCAACCCGAAAAATTCCTAGACCGGACGGGGAATTAAACCCAGCCACCTCCAGCATGGTCTTGCTTTGTAGCTGCGCCTTTACCGACTGAGCTAAGAAAGGCCCCAACTCTAAGACTAGTAGGTCCCGAAGAAACTTTCTAAACTTTTTGGCTCAGCTCTGGTACTATCTTCTGTCCCAAGCTAATCGATGCACCCTTCGAAACATAGGAACATCCACGAACCCCTCATTTTATCTGTCAAACTTTCATAGCGAATCAAAACAAACATTGTGTAGTACTAGAATTTTGACTAGAATGGAGTACGTTTATCGATTTGCTTGGGAATTGGTCCCGTAACGTACTAAAGTCAAGTTGTTAGCCAATTTAAAATCAATAGTTTCCACCAGTTGGTTATAAGCTTACATAAGTTTCGAGAAATTCAGAGAAATTCCAGAATCTTCAGCAAAGCTCCGAGAGAATTTTTAGAGCGTAAGGGAAGTTACCCAAGCAACACACAAGCTCTAAAACAGTTTATGTACGGTACACTGGGGCAAGTTGAAACGCGTGGAAAAGTTGAAACGGTAAGTGTATTTCATACCGGAAGTGAATAATCACTGAGATTATTTCTAATCTAGTAGTTTGCGGTGCCTCTCAAAAATAATTACATTGAGTATTCACTTCCGCTAAGAGACACTTACCGTTTCAACTTCCCCGCGCGTTCCAACATGCCCCGGTGTACCTTAACCTTTGTATGACTAGTTTTGGCTAAAAAGATGGTTACTTAACATAATGCCATGAATGTGCATCAGTAATCAGGAAAATGTGAGAGTGTTTTAAGAATTTCTATTGAAGATACGTTTGAAATTGGAGAAAATTTAACAAAGTTGATTAGAGAACTTCAAGGCGGTTCCATTAACTAAAAAAAAAGCGATGTATTCAAGAAATTTCAACGATCATCATTGCAGAGACTTGCCAATAATTCCTAGGTAAAGCATGAGTCATTTAATATCTGGACGCAAAAACAAAAACCGATTGTATCTCGGAACTATCTTATTGAAATAAAAATGTTGTGTACTCAAAATTAAGGTCATTAATTGAACTTTAAAAGAAAAATAGCGAAGAAAAATTATTCCGATTTGGTTTTGATGAAATCTCGAACTATTATTCGTACTTTGGAAACTCTGTTGGCTAACCTGAGCGGCCGTTTTGTTCCACCATCTCTTCATCTCTGTCGCATCCCGAGTCACCTTTCCACTCTTTTTCAACTTCTGTTTGACAATTGCCCAATATTTCTCAATTT